TACCTGTAGATATGTCGACTCTGTTTAAAAAAAGGTGGTGAAGTTACAGGAAAAATACACAAAGTATTTTCTTATTTCCCGACGTATTAGTAAACAACAATCCGTGTTGTTGTGCATAGTATCTTATCTTTTTTTTAAATAAAAACATCTTATCTTAGATCACCTTAGAAGTGACATGAACTTTAGTCAGCATCTTAAACAAACACACAACTCACATTTATACAAGCAAACACAAGTATACAGATCAACTGCCAGAGATAGACGTGTACACCTGTATTCCTTATATCTCAATATTCCTGCACTATGACCAAGCTGGTTCTACTCCTGTGTGTAGCGGTCAGCTGTGTGTTAGGGACTCCGAACCACCCCAGAGCCACGCCCCCCAAACCATGCTGTATGCTGGACCAGTGGGATGGGATGATGGCAGAAGTAGGGACGTATGTCTACGATACGCACGCTGGGACCTATAGGGTAATGTACTAGCCATAGTCTTTCTGTGACTCGGACCCCCAGAGCTAAGGACATTTACATATTCACCTAGTAAAAAATTGATAAAATTCAAAAACAGATAGATAGATAATTATCTCAACGTGAGGAGAGTACAAAATCTAAAATTGTAGAATACGCTCAATGTACAGTCAAGTAGGTACATGTAGAAAACAAAATTTTATTTTCATTCATGTCAGTGCCTCTGATATACTGGATCAGGATTGACATACACACACTGGACAATAGAAGTGTCACCCCCTAACTCAGAGTAAAAAAGTAGGCAGATCTTGGTTGTTTATAATGCCTGGTCTACTTATAATGTGACTAATGAGTATAAAACCGCTATACCATGGAATTGTATTGTTGGTCTTGTACATGTACAGCAAATGTTATTCCTGTCTTCCTCCAATATGGCAAGATACAGGCAATTATCTAACGGTTATAGGTGCAAGTTATTAACCTGAAGAATATCGATACAATTGAATGGTTCAGTCAGAACCGTGCAGAGGGTCTGGTCTCGGTATAGAAACACTGGATCAAGAGACAGATTGCCTCTGATGGGTCGTCCAAGAAAAACTACTGGCCGTGAAGACCGACGACTGATTTTGATGTCTAGGTTGTCAAAGTTCGACACTGCTTGTCAGTTGACAACACAGTGGAACAATTTCACACATAAGAATGTGTCTGTGAAAATTGCTAGGCGTCGGTTACATGCTCATAGAATGTACAGCAGGGTAGCAAGACTGACACCTCTTATATCGTTACAAAACAGGCAACGTAGAGTGAAGTAGGGTCAACAGGATCTGGAACTGGACAGTCCATGACAATTGGTCCTATTTTTTCTGATGAGTGTCGCTTTGGTATGACCTCTGATGACAGACGGGTACGATGCTGGCGAACTGCTGGTAAAGCATTTGAACCGCATGCACTGAATTTTTGAACCCGGAGCAGCATATTCATCATGGTGTGGGGCTGCATCAGCATCCATGGCGTGTGCGAATTGATAGTGGTTGATGGAAACATGAATCACTAGAAATATATCGATCTTTTGGAGTCAGGCTTGCTACCATCTATTACTAACATGTTTGGTGACAGGAATTATCCATTTGTTCACCAGGATGACAATGCTCCTTGTCACAGGCCCAGAGCAGTTGATGATTGGTTAAACAGGACATTCGCAGGGTGATGTGGCCTGCCCAGAGTCCGGATGCAAACATAATAGAAAATGTGTGGAATGATATGTCAAAACTTTTGACAAATGCCTGTCTAACCAGCAGAGAAACTCTGTTATATTCAGTGTTTCATGCTTGGGCCAGCAGAAGCCCTGAACGCATCAGACAATTATATTAATCCTTGCCTCGTAGACTGGCACCTATTATTAGGTCACGTGGCTATATGCCACTAAATATTAATTTTGGACTTGAAACTGCATATTTTGGTAGAATGTATATTTTGTTCTCATTTTGTGATTTTTTGTGAAATTTGATGTTAATAAAATGATACCAGGAGCATATCATTCCACAGTCATTTATCTCCCCCATAGTATATGTTCAGTAGGGGTGACACTTCTATTGGCCAGTGTGTGTATATAATACAGCAATTACATAACGTGAACATAAGAAAAACGAACTGGGTCCAGTTTCATAAAGGACTTTTAGCACCAACCAGTGGATAAATCCTCCTAACACCCGTTAAGTAAACGATGGTTAAATTTGTGTTTCAAAAACAGTGTTTAAACAGCCGGTTTAAACACTGTTATCCATTTATTACATTTTACTTTATTTATTACGTTTAATTGACTATAAAACTGAATACAACTTCGAATAAAACATATATAGCGAAAATACTGGTATAAACGTACTGGTACACACCCGCAAACACAATTGTTTTTAAAATTTCGACAACAACTGTATTTTCAGGGACTAATTTACTATTACTACGACAAAATAGGTATGAGACAAGCAATCGATTCGCGTCTCATCTACTCCCCCGGCGTACGGGCTGATATAAGGATTATTCAAGATTTCAAAGCAGTAAGTATTGTGCCACAATATGTCAGAATACCATCAAGGGCCATCAAAGCACACACGACAGTATCAACACATGCTAAAGCCATTTGTCTTTGAAGTATGAGGCCTTTAAGACACATAGACCTAGAAAAGCGTCAGCAGATTTTTTGTTCTTCCTAACAGAACCGGAGATGCAACTTGAAAGCAAGAAAAAAAATAAAGATAAAAGTCAGTTCACGTATCTTTGTTTTGAAATACCTGCTAAGATATTTAGGATGCCTTGCAAAACATATCCGAGGTTGTGGCATTTATTTAGCTTTTATTTATTTTTATTTTCTCTCTGCTTGCGTCAAACTGAATCTCCATAGTAAACCCGACTGTCTTTTTCCTTTTTTTATAAAATGAAATTAAAATTTGTCTTCGAACACATTGGTGTTTTTGTGTGTGTGGATACGAACTACCAGGTCCATATCTCTTTTGCAGTATTTTGTATTTATACCTGTGGTAATATCCATATTCCAGGGCTTCCAGTATGTGATCTTCACTGAAGGTAACACATGCACCAAATCTCCTCTGACAGGCACCATGCCACCAAATTGCATCCCGGGTAACTACAAGTATATTTTGTGGCACATTTTCAATCAATGTCTGGAATAGCTAGGAGAATTTCATATGTAATAGTTTCTATTTAAAATATGTTTAATGCAGCTGACCAATATCTAGAACAGATGCTGGTGCACCATGTAAGGGAATGGGTGGTTGTTATTAATTTCAGTTTAACTTTAGTCTAAATTATAAGCATTTTATATTGATCTTGGAAAAAGGGAATATTTTGGTCTTCCCCATTCACTAAGGTGCCTTTNCCGGAGATGCAACTTGAAAGCAAGAAAAAAAATAAAGATAAAAGTCAGTTCACGTATCTTTGTTTTGAAATACCTGCTAAGATATTTAGGATGCCTTGCAAAACATATCCGAGGTTGTGGCATTTATTTAGCTTTTATTTATTTTTATTTTCTCTCTGCTTGCGTCAAACTGAATCTCCATAGTAAACCCGACTGTCTTTTTCCTTTTTTTATAAAATGAAATTAAAATTTGTCTTCGAACACATTGGTGTTTTTGTGTGTGTGGATACGAACTACCAGGTCCATATCTCTTTTGCAGTATTTTGTATTTATACCTGTGGTAATATCCATATTCCAGGGCTTCCAGTATGTGATCTTCACTGAAGGTAACACATGCACCAAATCTCCTCTGACAGGCACCATGCCACCAAATTGCATCCCGGGTAACTACAAGTATATTTTGTGGCACATTTTCAATCAATGTCTGGAATAGCTAGGAGAATTTCATATGTAATAGTTTCTATTTAAAATATGTTTAATGCAGCTGACCAATATCTAGAACAGATGCTGGTGCACCATGTAAGGGAATGGGTGGTTGTTATTAATTTCAGTTTAACTTTAGTCTAAATTATAAGCATTTTATATTGATCTTGGAAAAAGGGAATATTTTGGTCTTCCCCATTCACTAAGGTGCCTTTTTTCAAAGCATTTCCATTGCCTTCATTATGCATATAGTATATACAGTACAAAACATGCAGGGCACGTCTAGGATTTTAAGATCTTAAGATTAAGTAATCCTCCTTATTTGTATCCTTTGTCAGGGCCACAGATATAGATTCCTCACTAGATATTAATCACAAATATTTCTCTGGCTAAGTCATGACACAGATTTCTGCTAGCCGTAGAAAAATGCACATGATCTACGGCCTTTGTACATGTACAGGGTACATTTTTGTAAACGAAGATATTTAATTTTCCACTAGTGGTATTAAGCAAAAACTAACGTATCCAGTAAAGAGACCCTGACGACTGGTGACGTCTTACTTAAGTAGGGATTGTTAGTTACTGATCCTGTGAATCGCACTTACTATTCAGATGACGCAAAGTTTGGGGGAGCTTTCTACATGGGCGGTCCAGACTATCGTTTACCGTGCCACAGGTGGCTGTACACGTCCAATGGTAGGAACGTTTCCCTGACCGTTACACAGCAAGACTGTTACCCTGTATTGGAGACAGAATATAGTGCCATGCCCAAAGGTAAGGAGCATTACTTTATTTGTTACTTAATGAGAAGTGATGGCTGTGATGGCCCGTGAGGAGAACAGTATGAACAGTATGCTGTAATCTGGGGAATTGCTATACTTGGATCATTTCAGAGGAGGTTTGTTTAAACGATAAGTTATCTGATAAAGAATACTGTGAGATAGGGGAGACCGTGGCTAGTTGGACTCCGGGGTAAGTTTGCCTACCCCCCCCCGCCCCCCCCCCCATAAATTTATGACAAAGTAACTATGGGGTAAAAGAACTGATCACATCATTTTGTTAAGTGATCGTATCAAATAGTGGTAAGAAAGCGTCGACAGTGAGTCCAAATAGATTTATGGGGGGGCCGACTTACCCCGGGGTCCAACTAGCCCCGGTCTCCCCTATATAACGACTAACCGAACACCAAATCACACCTTCTTTGAAACCCCGTTGTAAAGCTCCATTGGATGTAAAGCTCCACTGGTCCCACTTGGATCGATCTAACTGGATCGATCTAACTCCCTGGGGAGTCTCACTAAATTGCTGTCAACTAACCGGCCTAAATGTCTGTCACGCCTACCGAATCAGCTAGGGGGTAAAGATAATTACCCCCTAACAGCTTTACTAGGCGTGACAGACATTTAAGCCGGTCAAGTTGACAGAAGTGTAGTGAGACTCCCCAGGGAGATAGATCGATTCAAATATCTGTGGGAATGGTCCCGAACTTCAAGGGGATACGTGTGAAACTCGACCCCTGTAGGCGTTAGGAATTTCGTCTTTTCGTTCGCAATGCAAAAGTGACACGCAAAACAGGGAAGATAGGGTCATACTCGTGTGCAGTACTGTTCGACAGAACGTTACGGAAAATCCAAGATGTCCGTGGATACACTGTGACAGCTTTATTCGTTGATGAACTGGACTAGACTGCCCTTAAAGCTACGTACTTCCCTTCCCACCTTCTTCAAAATCCCACATGGAGTCTTTGCTGAGACTGTAATCGCAAAAAGCCGTTCTCCGGCATTATGAACGCCGTTATGATACATGATCAGATACGGACTCCTTGTTTTGTCTCCGTTTAGATGAGAACTAATGAAGCAGGGACCTTTTTCTCTATTATCCGACATTTTCATATTTTGAGCGCAAACAGATCAACTTTACTCATTCTGAATGGCTCCTAGAATTTATCTCTTATATTTGCAGTTATTTATTTATTTATTTATTTATTTATTTATTTATTTATTTATTTTTAGGTGGCCAGATGGCATCAAGTGCCTTCGCCTATGTTCACTCCGGCATCCACGACCCGACAGTATTCAACATCCCGTCCTTTTGTAACAAGGTCTCCAAAGAGGTAAAACTTATCCTTTGGTCGAGGCTTAAATGAAGAATAAATCCTCCATTCTCAATATATTCTAATGACAGAGTCGTAGGCTGCGGGGGAAGAGGGTAGGTGTGCGCTGGGGATTAGAAATTGTTTTATTAAGTGTTAGGGACTATTCCCAGACCCTATCGTACTAACTGTGGATCGATCTATCTAAGAGAGGATTCTCGCTAAATTTATAGCTGCAAGGGGGTAATAATTATCGTTTAGCACCTTCAGTAGGCGTGCCCGACATCTAAGCCGCGTGAGCTGAAAGCAATTTAGAGAGAAACCCCTCGGAGATAGATCGATCCTGTAAGATCGATCTTATTCCGGTAAGATCGATCTGGTTATGAGAACCCAGTCTTAGTCTTTCCCTACTTCATCTTAATTGCCCTTCAATCAGCGTCTATGAGTACCAGATACGGAACTAACAGCCTTTGTATGCATACGTATTTTAGGCTCCACAGCTGCCCCCATCCCCCACCCCACCGCCCCCTTAACTCCAGGTCAAATATTTTGGCCCCGCAAACGACCCTGACGACGTGAAATGCATTTTGCCGCTTTCTTCAGCAACTAAACTATACAGTCTCTCCATTGCCCTGTATTGTCAAATCGTCACTGTGCACGTATTTTTAGACCATTTGTAACACATAAGTGCTTATTTTAATAATAGTCCGGTGGCTTAAGGAAAAAATCGTGACACAGCGGATAAAAGCACTAAATTTTGCATGTGGGTACCTTTTGACATACTAAATCAAATTAGAGCCGTAGCCCACGGAAATAAATTACCGTTTGGCCAAAAAATCCAAAATGGCCGCCAATTTATGGAATTCTATAGAAATGTTTACATACCTATGTTGATTTTTATCAAATAAATTATTTTCTCAGAGTTTTCCACACCCTTATTACCCATTTTATTCATATATGTCAGATATCAAACAAGTTCCCTTGGACTTTTTGAAAAAATCCAAGATGGCTGTCATATGCCATAGAAACAGCCATAGGAATATTAGTGCACAACTAATACCAGCTATAGACAGATACGTTGTCCACTATCAAATTAAGTCTGTTTCTCAGATTTTTGTTACCCACATAATATGTTTGTGGTGAGTAACTGCGAAGTGTTCTTGGGCATTTCGGAAAATCCAAGATGGCTGCCATGTGCCACAGGAATTCTAGTATATGGGGGATTCAACTAATGGCAACTGGAAAGATTAATTTTTCAATATCAAATTAAGTTTGTTTCTGGGTGTTTTCCACATCCTTTCCACCCACACAATATGTATGTGGTGAGTAACTAACATGTAATCCTGGGCATTTTGAGAAAATCCAAGATGGCCGCCATGTGTCATAGGAATACTTATAGTGTTACAAAGGGTTGGAACTAATGCCAGCTAATTCACTATCAAATTCAGTTTATTTTTTTAGTGTTTTACACATAATTATTACACTGTGATACATATCTAGCAGGTAATAAATGTGCATATTTGATCATTTTGAGAAAATCCAAGATGGCCGTCATTGGCCATAGGAATACTTCTGGAATTACAACTGCACATCCATGACTTTTCATCGACTACCAGGGTGAAATTGTGTTTTCTTATCAAGTTTTGCCCATCCTTATTAGTCCTATGATATATATCTGGTGTACATCCTTGGATATTCTGAGAAAATCCAAGATAGCTACAATTTAACATAGGAATACAAATGGGTGGGTTTCAATTGCTGCTAGAGAGGCATATGGTTTATTATACAATTACATTACCATGGGTTTGTTTTAAAAATAATTTATGTTTTTCATTCCATTTATTATTACTCCTATAATGTATGCCTGGTCTGTTCCATGTGTGTATCTTTGGGTATTCTGGAAAATTTCAAGATGTCTGCCTTTTGTCATTAGAATATTCGAACACATAATCAAATAATGCCAGAGGTACAATGAGTACAATTTAAATGCAGTTAACTTTAGATCATTTTTAAATGTTTTTCATATCCTATTTATCCTTATGAAAGACTCCGTGTGTGTAGAAAGTGCATGTGTCCTTGAGTATTATTCGGAGAAAATCCAAGATAGCTGCCAGTTGTCATAGGAATATATCATTCAAATGAAAATAGGTGTCTATTAACGGAACAGTTCAGGCATTGATTCTAACATGAAATAAAGCTGTTTGATGTTCAAACATGTTGACATCCTTATTAACTTTACTCTATATAAATCTGGTGTGTAGCAAGTGTGCATCTTGCGCATTTGAGAAAATTCAAGATTGCTGCAATTCACAATAGGAATAGAACATTCAATTACTGCCAGAGAGACATTGGGTTCAATGTAAAATTAATTTTGTTTCTCGGTATTTCCCACATTCTTTTTGGACTTTGAGATATCTATCTGGTGGGTAACAAGTGTATACCCTTAAGTATTTTGACAAAATATCATGATTACCCTCATTTGCCTTAGAAGTGCCTATAAAATCTAATGCACCAGTTTTCCTATGGGTAAAAGAAGGCCATCTTGGATTTCCCCAAAATGATAAAATATGGACATTAATTACCTAACAGATATGTATCAAGGGATAATAATACTAAAAAAAACAGAATAACAACTGAATTCAGCTTCATTTTATATGTAAGCCTATCTCCCGCAGGTATTAACTGAACCCCACCTTCTATGGCAAATGGCAGCCATTTTGTTTTGTTTTCTTTTCAAAAAGGATACACATAACATTCTCATCATATATACAGGTATATATATTATGTGAATTAAAAAGATGTGGAAAATACTCAGAAACAAACCTAATTTATCAATTAATATTATATCTCCATGGCAGAAGAAGCCCTATGTGTATACTAGTATTCCTTTGATATGGGGGCCATCTTGGATTTTTCTCGAAATGCCTGAGAATAAAGGCTAGTTACTCACCACAAATATATTATTTGTGTAATAAGAAACAATTAGATAGTGGGCAATGCATCTTCCTAGTTGGCATTAGTTAGTTGAAAACCTGTGTACAAGATCTAGTATTCCTATGCCATATGGCGGCCATCTTGGATTTTTCAAAAAGTCCAAGGACACTACTTTGTTACCTGACACATATGCATAATATGGGTAATAAGGATGTGGAAAACATTGAGAAAATACTTAATTTGATAAAAATCAACATAGGTATGTATATATTTCTACAGAATTTCACAAATTGGCGGCCATTTTGGATTTTTTTGCCAAACGGTAAATTGTTTCAGTGGGCTACGGCTCTAATTTGATTTAGTATGTCAAAAGGTACCCACATGCAACATTTGGTGCTTTTATCCGCCGTGTTACGATTTGGCCATTTTTTTGCCCTAAGCAACCGGACTATAACTGTACCGGATCTAAATTTAGTTCCTGCTTTTTAATTATAATCCCTCTATTCCAGCACCCTCACCACCAGTTACAGGGACCCCATCTTCACGCTTTGAACAGACTGAGGATATAGACAACCTTGTCGGAAGTTTATATGATCAATTCTAACCAGGGAATGGGTTATAATTATTATAATCTTATTGCTTTAAAATTCAGTATAAAGCATATTTGTTAATGTTACAAGCTTGATCTTGTCTAAATTGATTAAGTAGCCTACATTGTATGGTTTTCTGTAATTATGATTCTAAAAATAACACAATGTAAATTATACTGAATGTATGAGAATGTCCCTCATAACTCTTGTAAGAGTTGCTCTGTTTTAAAGTTTGTACTGTCTATTTGAACGTTAACAAGAGGTGAGACTTAAATAAAATAAAAGATAGAAAAATATTTCACTGCTCAAACGATTTCTAGATTATATGCGGAAAATATTTTTAAGATTAAGCAAGAAAGGCATCCCCAATTTTAAATACAAACCGGTATATGCTGTGAGTGTTGATGAAAATAGTGCTGGGTTGGTCAGTTTGTCAATGCAAAATTTCACATAACCAAATGGCAAATAAAGGCTATTGACAAACATTTTGTACGTGTATGTAGTCTTTCTCCTGTTTTATTCTTTCAATATGCTTGAAAATGAACACAAAGGCGTAAGATATCTATTCAATTTATTGAAATTTTCGGAAAGTTATCATAAATACATAAATAGAAAAATTATCTAGACTTAAGTCTCCCATGCGTGGTTTCTCGTAGAATTTGTGCTGTAATAATTGTGTTAATTAAGCCTAAATCAAGATGAAAATATCAAGATGAATACCTATGGATTACTTGTCTTTAACGAAACGCAACCGTGATAAAAATCGACTATTTCAAAATCTTTCCGACGGGACACATTTTCAATTAGTTATAAATACAAGATTGAAAGAAAGAGGACAACATGGATAAAAGCTTTAAAAAAGGACAGTGGTAAACTTTCTAACGTGTTGTCAATCTGCACAGGAATACAATTGTGCCTGTAGAATGCTTACAAAATGCTTGAAACCTTTATACTGGGTTTCGTCAGTTACATGTAAGCCTTGTTCTTTAAATTTGTATAAGTCACCAAGGCAAGTTGTCTCATGTGTACGCAATATTACATCCGTACAACAGAGACGGTAGAAGTAATTAAGAAAAAAGCATGACAGCAAGGCTCCCAATGGGGCTTATATTCGTACGTTAAACCGGGTTATAATCATACCACATGCACACATACACTATGCTCATAGTGTGTTAAGACCGCTGCTATTGCTTCTAATTCCGAGCCTTGTGTACATCTCTTCTGTCTGTGTTTTTAATTATGATCTCCAACAGTTTACACTTGCTACAGAGCTGCCCCAGTTTGGTAATAATTACTAGCGATATGAAAGCTTAATCACATGACATTAACACCTTTTAATTTTTATTAATTAGATTTTGAAAACAAACAGTGTGATAATTACACTTTAATGTTACATTCACGTGCGCACGCGGTCACAAACATTACACTTTTTCAGGTGGCTTCTCTGTTAATGCTTTGATACTAAAGCTATATCTGTATATTTTTCTCACGTAAAAGGGGATTATTTCAGTTATGGGTCAAAAGATCTAGATCAACAAATACATTTATCATAAAAAATCAATATATAAGGAGAAATAAAATCATTCAAAGTTGAACTCAAATTCATATCTATTGTAAAGCCAAATGTTTATCTATCTATCTTTCATTTTATTTTATTTATTTTATTTTATTGAAGTCGATTTCTCGTTTACATTAAAAACAGTGCAGCAATTTAAAAAAGAGCAACTCTTGCAAGAGTTATAAAAGGCATTCCAATACATTCAATATAATTATGCAGAGTGTTATTTGTAGAATCACATACACATACAGAAAACCCTACATTGTATTTGATAGTTGTTTTTTTTTCACAAAGGCCAATATTTTACCACACAATGTCATATACACAACTGAAATAAAGTTCTTTCGGTTTAAACATGATTAAACTAGTCATATTTTTTACTAATTTGTTTTACACTGAAGTATATATCAGTAGGATTATTTTCAATATAATGCAGTCCCTGGTTAAAACTCGGCATCTTCATGTCCATACATATACGTCGCATTTGTCATTTCATCTCCTCAGTATGTTCATAGCCCGTCGATGGAGTCCTTGTAACTGGTGGTGAGGGTGCTGCAATGAAGAGAAAACACATTAAAAAAGGGGGAACTACCGCTTTTTTATCGTTTTCATAATGTGCGTATGAGTTACTAAAAAGTACAATAACGGGTAACAGAGAAACTGCATCTAACATGTTTATTGCAGCAGTATACATTTCACGTCGAGTCGCTCGGGGTCGACGACTGAGATAAATTCTTGGCGAGGGGAGGGGGGAAGGGATCTACAATTGCTTATTAATCTATGATAAAAATAATTAATAAATAAATAATACTATATTCGTTTTGAGTCTTAAATTCATAAAATGTTCCGTAGACTGTACGCCATAAATTTATCAAAAGATTTAGATAAAATTGATAGAAATATACCAATTTATAAAATCAACGTTTGACTATTTAGCGGTAATCCCCAGCGCTCACCCGCCCCCTTCCCCCGCAGCCTACGACTCTGTCATTAGAATATATTGAGAATGAAAGATTAATTGTTCATTTAAGCCTCGAGCAAAGGCTAAGTTTTACCTCTTTGGAGACCTTGTTACAAATGGACGGAGGGTTGAAAACTGTAGGGTCCTGAATGCCGGGGCGGACAGACGTGAAGGCAATTGACGCCATCTGGCCACCTTAAAATAAATAAATAAATAAACAAATAAATAAATAAATAAATAAATAAGTGAGATATAGATGAATAAATAAATAAATAAATAGATAATTCAATAAAATTGCTGCATAGAGCAAAGACTTGAGAACAAAAATAAATATATTTAACATATACAGTATAGAAAACATATCGCAAAAAAGAAACAATTTCATCATGATATAAGTTAATGTTAAAACCACTGCAACAAAATAGTTGAAATGTTATAAAATATGACTTCAAACAGAAATTAGAAAAAAAGGACATTTGAATAAAATCATATGAATAGCTCGAGAAAAATTAATCTGTGGCACTGGTACAGCCACCTGGGGCGGATCCTCTCCTTTTATGTATCTGGATGACGTCGTGCTGTGTCGACTATATCTTATGACTCCAGTCCATTTGTCTTGTGTACCACATCCCCTCTGGCACAGGTCACAAATGTGCAATGACTGAGAATATATTTTTATTAACCTCTCCGTCCGTCACTCTGGGAGGCATTGGCCGACCCAATGCCAGAATATTATATAATAATTCCGAAGCTATATGTGCATATACCGTACGGGAAATCGGCCACAGTGATTGCGGAAACTACAGCATCAAATACACGCAGTGTCACACTTCATGTGGAGTATTTGGATTCATATCGCACGTTTAGGTAAAGAAGGCATTGATTGTTTAAAATGTGCATCTCGCATGAAGTATATGAATAGAGAAATGTGTGGTCAGGTACATGTAATGGTATGTCAGAACCAACAGACCGACTGGCTTGACTATAGCACTGCTGTATCACGGAATATGCGGTGATTTCATGGGGTAGCTAGCTTTTTGAGCTTGTTTAAGTGAGGCAATGACAGAGCAGGGTTTTGTCAAAAAGTCTCAATATTTCGGTTTCTGTCTCAATGACAGCAAAGAGGATATCAAAAGCTATCAAAACATGATTTAAATCCTTGTTCTCATTTATAAGTCGTAAAAATAGAAAAGAATCGAAGAAAAATTATTTGGAAAAAATATTCCATAATGATTGTAAAGTCTGTATATGATTATGCATGGGTTTACTAATCAGACAATGCTATAAACCCCCCCCCCCCTCCCCCCCGAGACGATTCTTTGTTACATAATAAGAAGAAAGTTATTTCAAAGTCCTGAATTGCTAATTTATATAAAAATGTTTTGAGCTTGAAATAATTTTTTTTAAAAATTACGAACGTTACTTGTGCGAAATGTGGAAGTCATCGCCGTTACGATACATAGGGTTCTAGATACAAGTAGGACGGCGAAAATTATTTGTATTTATCACAAATCTTCGATGTATTGTAAATTTATATAATTTATTGGCGGAAAACACTAGTCGAAATAGATCTTCGATACCTTCACTAAGATATTGGCATATAATTTTATTTTCAGACCGTGTAAAAACACTGAGCCAACGTTTTTGCACGTTTATAAATTTCAAGACGTTTAATCATATAATAAATCAAGGTGAAATACTACCAACACGACAGGGGCAAATCACATTTTTTCTAAGATGTTTATCTCTACAATAAATCAAAATAGAGAATTCACAATGCTACACGTGAAAGTCACTTATTGCATGCTTATCCGTTTCTAAAAACTATTTATTGAACTTGAATGGTTGTACTGTTTGATTTTATGTGACATGCCTCGTCTTTAGTCAAAGTGCCGTTCAGAAGCGACCACATCTGAGGGGTGGACGCTCGGTGGACAGCGAACGACTTCACGAACTTACACTTATTGCTGAAAATAGTGTTATAATTTGCCGAGCGGCGTAACCAAAAGTTAACATTGTGTTTAAGTTTGATGTCATTTGCGTGCGCTATGTGTCCCATATACACATCTTCTATGAACAGGTGTTGAGTGAGAGACGCAGAGTTAATGACACGTATCACATCAAAAGAAAAAAGCGACGCAAATCCTGAAACAAAATCAGGGAAATTGCTCCAAGGGTATTGTTCGAATGACTGGTAATGCTTGCCGTTTGGCTTTCTTTGTGGGGCTTTTTTGTCGGAGCGAACGTTACCCTCAAAAAGTTTTAACTGGGAATCTTGGGGAAGACTCGTGAGATAATCCATTATTTCACGGATGTTGAGCGTTACATCATGACCGCTTCTAAGAACGAACTTTGCGTTCCCGCAGAAATCAACGGCCCAGCGGAAAGCAAGTAGAGTCTTAAGCGTGTAGTTTTTATAAGTATCAGCGAAATCTATTCTAACGATGTCTTTATATTTTAATCCTTCAGCTATTGCATTCGCGTCCACTGTCTTGTTTGTTGTCCCAAGAAAAAAGACGGTTTTGATTCGTCTGCCCAGATGTTGCTTCCAACTACCGCATGTTTTGCGAAAAAAAGCTCTAGTTTGCACATCTCGCGGGTCCGAGATTACCAAAACCAGCAAATATGGCTTGTCGGCCGAAGTACACTGTTGATTTAATTCGTATCTGTATTTCTTTAAGTGGTACCAGTATTTTGGCGCCATTTCCGCCGAGCACACATCCAGTGGGATTTCACAACGGGTGTCCAAGTTGGTATTCCCATCCCGATACCTGCTTGTTCTAGCACTTTGATATGAAAGTCTAGATCTCAGGATCCAAAGTGTGGCGAGTCCCCATATTCCAACAATACAGGCTTATGTTTGTACCGTTCTCTTCACGGTCATGTCATAGGCCGCACTAAAAATGTCTGTGCACTAATATACAGTCAAAGTTTAGCGATATTAGCCGACGTGTAGACAACATCACACGCCTACCGCCAGTGGCGCCAGCGAAATGAGATCAGGCGATGGGATGTACGTACAATACATGTATAAAGACTGCATACACAGTCTTTACAAGTATTTCAACACAAGAGAAATATATTCTTCACTAATACAAAAAGAGTTAAAATGTTACGGTTTTAATTTGCTTTTGCGTACATTTTCTAACCTGTACCAGTGCCACATACGTATACACGAGGGCTACCACGGCCATCACTTAACATACATTTTGTAAACATATAACAATTAAATTAATGGTTCTTACCTCTGGGCGTGTTCCCGTACTCCGTCTCCAACACAGGATAGCAGTCCTGCTGTGTAACTGTAAGGGAAACATTTGTCCCTTTGGACATGTACAGCCACCTGTGGCACGGCAACGGGGTGTCTGGACCGCCGATGTAGAAACCGCCCCAATACTTAGCGCCATCTGAAAAGAAAATGCGGTTCACTGGATTCAGTAAGGCCTATATGATTACAAATCCGAATACAGCCAAGACGTCTTTAGTCTTCAGAAGCTTTTCAACTTAAACGTTTGTTTTTGTTTAATACTACTGGTGGAAAAATGCACAGCTTGGTTTTAGAGATTAACACGCCTCCTCCTGACGTTGAGTAGAATACTGAAAAGCTTGTGATTATACAAGACATTGAAAACAAGGGGGGGCGTGTTGAACTGTTAAAAAGTGACACAAAGAGACACAAAATATGTACGTAGTTACCCGGGATGCAATTTGGTGTCATGGCGTCCGTCAGAGGGGACTTGGTGCACGTGTTGCCGTTGATCACATATTGCATGTGCTGGAATATGAATGTACATAGAGATATAGGTATTAATATGAAACGTGATATAAATTGGATGTATGGGCCTGGAATTGCATAGCCACATGCACACAAAAACATTAATCTGTTCAAAGACAAATTTTAATTTAATTTTATTACAAAATAACAGAGTAAAAAGACGAGATTCTGTTCGATGCAACCCCTAATAGTAGGGGAGCCAAGGCAAAAAATTAGGGTGAAAAAAAATTTTTATGATATAAAATTTTCGAATATATGGTCGGAGAGCCTGATATCTGGGGTTTATGAATCTGCTTATTGGACAAATGGGCTCAATTGCGAAAGTGCCCAAAAATCCAAGATGGCCGCCACCCCTAAGGAATATGCAATAAATGGATAAATTATGAAAAATGGTTGATATTTTCATTTAGTTTCAGGGTAGATATTTTTTTTGTCCATATATTGTGGAAATATGTACTATCTGGTGATCTGTAGCAGAAATTGGTCAATTGGATTCAAAATGGCCGTTCTATCCAAGATGGCGGCCAATATTTCAACATTTTTTGCAATTAAATCCTCTTTTCATTGATCTACAATTTCTTTCAATCATGATATGGGCAAACATTTATCAAATAAAGATTGCCTCTACTATTTTCTGCATTTGTACCATCTATGTGTAATATAGAGGCTTTGTGAATACAAAAAAATCCAATATGGCCGCCATGCACCCTTTACCATTATGAGTCAAGGGTACTACCTGTCTTTTATAGAAAAGTTCAAATATCTACTTTAATGAAGCAAATGCTATTTCTATTTAACAATTTTTGGGTGAAGGGGAATTGCTTCAGTATTTTAGAGGTAAATTCAAAGAGCTATTTCAATCCAAGATGGCAACTTTATCCAAGATGGCGGCCAAATTTTCACAAGTTTTTGCAATGAAGTCATGGTTTCTGTAATCTAGAACTACTTTCAATCATGAAAAAAGCTAAATTTTATCAAATATAGAATTTCTCCAATACTGTGTGCATTTTTGCTATCTGAATGCATAATTAAAGTTAGATGATTAGAGAAAAATCTAATATGGCTGCCATACACCCCTTACCAATATGAGTCAAAGGCGAAACATATCATATCAAAAGTTGGTATATCTCATTCAATGAAGTATATTATACTTTCATTTTAAAACATTTGGTAAAGTACACTTGTTTTTTATTTTATGATGTTTAATTATACACTACCTATTAATCCAATATGGCCACTCTATCCAATATGGCAGCCAAAATTTGACCAATTTTGCAATTTAATCCCTTTTCTTTTTGTCAGAATTTTTTTCAATCTTCTAGAAGCAAAATTTCATCAAACATAGATGCTCTACCCTAACTTCCTGCATTTTTACTATCTTTATACAGAAAGAAGGCTTTATGCTTATAGAAATACCCAAAATGGCCACCATAAATCCCTTATCATTACCCTCATATGAAACAAAGTGACGTATCTCATAAAAAGTTGAAATATCTCCTTTGATGAAGTACATTTCATTTTTATTTTACAATATATGGGTATATG